TATAACTGTTTTCGATCTTTACATTACTGTTCCTCGTGAGACAACTGCTAAAAATTGGAACATTGGGAAAATTACTTACCGAATGCCGTATTTGCTCCGAAAAGTTCACCGTATTTGAGGAAACAGTCTCCCAGCAGAAGCTCCGCATGTGGATAGCCTTCTCTCACGGGTGCTGAGTGCGAACCAGCAGCAGCAGCTGTGGGTCGAATACGGCTGACCACCTTTGGTCCGGGTTCAAGACACGCCATAGCCCGCTTACGCACATCTTCATAGTAGTGTTTGTGAATATCAATCAACTGTGCGTGGAACAGAAAATAATTAGTTAGGATAAACAGCTTTCTTCCATCTCGACTGTTTAGAGGCTGAGTCTCTGATCTCAAGGGAAACAAATTGAGGGTTTGTTAAGTTTATCTTTTGTTTGTTTTGAAAATTTTCAACAGAATGAGCTGATTCCCTCAGAACGTCGCGAATGAAAGCCATTGATTGGTGCATTAGTTGAGGTGTGCAAAACACAGTGAGCACTTTCAAGAAACGGTATCTTCAGAACACCAACAGATTTTACTTGGAGGTAGCATACACAGAAAAATACAATTATACGATTATATTATTCGATGTTCTTTTGTTCTTACCCTCTAGCCTGGTACTGATGAATTTCCATTTTTTTGACTTGGTATCAATGATACCGACAACGTTGAATCCCGTGACAGCAGGCTTACTTGTACTTCATAAAAACGGATGAAAAGATTATAACTCATCGATGGATGATGCCTGTGACTGAAACCTCGACAACACTGGCTGAATGAATTTTCTAAGTCTAATGAAGTTGCCATAAGATCATATACCATTTATTGAAGCAGCCTTAAAATCATTTTGAATTCCCTTAGGGCATTTTGCGTAATATTATCATGGTTAAATGTGTTGCGTGACAAGTATTAGATAAAACGGCGGCAAAAAATACGTGAAAAAAGTGGCCCTAAAGGCGTTTGACGCACTATATTTTGACGGCGACATCTCCCCCTGACTGGTGAATCTCAGAAGACGTTTCGATACAAATAAACAAAGCCCAGTCGGCATTTACCAGACTCATACATCTTTGGCGCCGCAGCCGTAATTAAATATCCACTGGGAGCCAAACTTATTCGAAAGGAACGACAAAATAAAGACGCGAACGATGGGTTTCTTCGACTTTTGTTGCTCTGTTGGATGCCAACAGAACCATTTCATCTGATACCAAATATGACGCCGCAAGTAAATCCCTTCGAGGCCAGTGTATTAGGAGCCATAGGAATAGTAGGGAGTGCTAGGTAGAAAATGTAGGAATACAGAGAAGGCTGAGACCCCCGAGTAACAGTTGCAGTCTTCTCCGTCCAATTATGGGTACGGGCCCATTAAATAGCGCGGAGGCGATGAAGAGGTCTCATAGTCAACTTATTCGTATTCAGCAACACCGTCTAGAAGGATAGGCGAAATATTTCAAGGCAGAGTTCACCTGGCCTCTATGGACAGTAAATCTGCTATCTTATACCTCAAGTTGGCAAATTACATTAGTAGATAGTGGTCGTCTTTCTAAAATGAGGTACGCAAATTTTG